CCGTGAAGCACATGAGCATGTTTCATGTACACTGAAGTAAATTATGTAATTTTCTAATATTTTGTTAGTAAAACGTCAAAATACATATATCTCATACAGCGTGTACAAATCTTCTTCTTTTTGTATATTACGTTACTCACTTTTCTGCATCCGTGCCCTTTATGTGTGCAAAACGTAAAAACTAATGGAAACAATGCAAACAATCTATAAATCGTCCTCCTTCCAAAAAAAAAGTGTTTGGCAGCTAGGTGAATTTTCAGTAATGATCATCATATTTTCAGTGTAGATCAATGTGTATTTGAAAATGCTCGTAGTTGTACGAAATCATAACTTGAGGTGTTAAATGCCATCCATGTTAAATTGTATTTAAATTTTTGTTTGTAAAGTTGAATGGGCACCCTAGATTTTAAAACATTCTCGGAACTTTCCAATGGTTTTTCTGATCGTCCAAGTTGTAAGACAAAATTCTAAAGGTCCAATATTATAATTTTTTTCATTAGCTAAAACAAGTTACATTGAATTGAAAGACTTCACAAAGATTTATTATATAAATTTTACACCCGAAAAATTAATAAATGCATATTTTCCAATGCAATAGTTATTAATTCAATGTATGTAAGAAATGAAATTCCTTTACAAATAAAATTTTGCCATGGAGAAAAAACACGTATTATTAAAATAGCTTGACCGTTGGTAGATAAATGTACTTTAAAAATATTTACTATAGAAACCTCTAATTAATAACCCCACGCATCCAGCTATTACCAAAAAGTATGTTTTCCTGCCATTATGAACATAGTGATCAAAATAGTGTCTGTAATGATCAAGAAAAGATAAATTACCAGTATTGTCCCTTTCCTGATTTAAAATCAAAGATCGTTCCAGGCAATCGCAAAGCACTCGGAGTGCACTGCATCTCATGTATATTCAGGAAGTACGTCCCATTGTTCTCACTTTAACCGCAACACCTTTCATGAACAAACCAAAAAACCTAATATTTTTCCTCCTCCAACGGGCGTGGAACGCCACACCTGCCCACCCTGACCTACACATCCCCACCCGTGAGCTCAATCACCATCCATCACATCCCTCCTTCCACACCCATGGGCGTCGTAGAGGGCGGCTCCCGGTAACGGAACCCAGGACCTCCGGATTCCCAAGAAGGCGCGAATGTTCCATGGTCACCCGACGCACCGCACCGCGCCTCACCGCGACACGCGTGCGCAAATGTCACGGGAGCGCCCGGCGGCGTTGGCGGCGGCACGCGTGCGACCTCTGCAAGGCCGCGTCGGAAGCATTGTGCTCGCCACTCCGTTATGCCCCGCCCCGCCCTCTCCTCGTGCGTGCCATGAGTTCCGCACCGCGACACTCGGGGCGTCAATTGAGGTCACTGCAGTGCCTCTGACCAGGTGGTCTTACATTCGAGTCCCGACGGTGGCAGGATTTTAGACACTTGTTAGATAGCTATGTTGAATTCAGAAGCTGTCTGGAGGAGAATCCTTCTCTGATTGGTAGTTTTTCGTGTCTTTTCGTATCAACAACAGGCGAATGCCGGAGCAGTACCCTAACAAACGGGCTACGAGCCGAACGCGATCTTTCCTTCTCATTTCTTATCATATCCTACCTCTCACATACACTCACTCACACTGACATGCACTGCACTACCACACACTCTGTCGGAAGCTTGTCCAGGCCGCGGTGGTGCCCCGCTGGTGGGAGATACCTGGTTAGGGGAAACCCCCAGTCGGCGGCGGATCTCACCATCCAGCGGGAGAAGATCACCGCCTCCTCCCGAGAAAAAAACATGGACTACACTTACGGGACTAATAAAACGCTATGAAGGAATCGCTAATCCATCAATCAAATTTAAAAAAATTCAAACCGCGCCCTGCCACGCAGGCCTGATCCAGTTCGCCGCGTTAATTGGCGCCTCCACTTCCCCGGTGAGAAGTGGCGGAGGGGAAAGTCGCCTTGGTTCCTTGTCTGAAATGTTCGGCGCGTCGGAGGGCTGGGGCTGTTCGCTGGCCTGGAAAGGAAGTTGTCGATGAATGGCGTGCTGTCTGGGGCGCCGCGCGGCGGTCATGGGCGCATTTGAATGGGCGCTTTTCGTTACATTGTACGAGTGATCAAATATGGAATGAAGTAACTAGCAAATATTGAAGTGGTAGGTTTTCTTTATTTGGACACGCATTCTCGATTTGCCTCGAACGCTTTTCCGATGGGAATTTATCAGCTCGCTCATTTAATGTAGCAATGAGGCTCAAAAAATAACAATACATTTTGAAAATGTAAAAGACAAACAAAATTCATGAGATTTGTTTTCATGAGATAGTACTTATGTATATTCTTGTCAAAATACTTTAATCAACCTTTTGGCGAATATCCAATAGATCATCTGAACGCTTCAACGCAAAGCACATGGATTATTTCTGAATCGTGGGAAGTAGGACAAATAACGCACATTATGTGAAATATGTCTATGTAGATTTCTCTTTAACCTAACGAGACTCAGGTCAGCAATCCAGGCTGTCCAGGCCAGAAGAGTCTAGAGAGAATCAGAAGATTATATAGAGATTCAGTGGGAGATCTTGAGCAATCCAGACTGCACACATCTTCTGCGAGTCGGACAATATGGCGTGTGGCGCTTAGTACCTCTCACTTGCAGTTCAACGGCCGGTCGAGGCGGCCCGGCGCGGCGCGGCGTGGCGCGAGCGGGGCAGCAGGGATGAGGGGGAGAGAGGGGCGGCGCTGGGCGGTGTGGCGAGTGGGCCATGAGCGGTCGGTGAGGGGCGATGAGGGGGCGGTGCAGTGAGGAGACTGTCAGGGGTGTGTGGGGGCGGCGCGTGACGGCGTGGCGAGGGAGGGCGTGAGTGGTTGTGGATGGGGGAGAGTGCTGCGCGGGGCCGGCGCGTGGCAGCGTGGTGAGAGAGTGAGTGAGTGGGTGGTGATGGGGGAGGGGGCGGCGAAGGGACAGTGAGGGGGGTGAGTGGGGTGAGCTGGGCGGCGTGGCGAGGAGGTGAGTGGGTGTGGATGAGGGAGGGGACGGCGCCGGGGCGGCGCGTGGCGGCGTGGTGAGTGAGTGGGTGGGGATGACGGAGGGTCTGACGAGGGGGACGAGGGGGAAGAGTGGGGCGGCGGGGCGCGGATCACGAGCGGCGTGCGGGGGCCGCGCAAAGCCAGCTGGCGAAGCGCCCTGGGCTTCCGCGACTGCCGATCGGTTTCCTCGCGATTTCGCCCAAAGGAAGAAACCCGCTCTGGCACACGTCTCGCGCGTGCGAACTTTCTCAGGGGCGACCGGAAGAATTGTCTCCGCCAACAGATGGTCTTCGTTGTGCATTGCTTGCGAATTTGCGATTATAATTCATTAATTTCCATTGACAAAATTACCTGACATTTTAATAATATACATACAGTAATGTGTATAGCAAGTATAGTCTTTGTATTAGAAGTGTGTTCCCGTATTCTCTATAATCTTTCTCATCATTTTGCTCAGATCTTTTAGTAAATTTCATCATTGCTCTATTTCTCCAGTTATGCTAAAATTACGGACCATTTTTGGGCAACAATCAAGACTCATAGGCTGATTTTTTTATGAACATTCTGACTTTTGTTTGTTTTAAGAGATTTATTTTCTAGAATGTTGAATTCATTTTCACTGCTTATATGGAACGCGGACATTGGTGGTTGTGACTGTGAAAGTGTGGTCCCGTGAAATATAATGTAATACAACGTTTTATTATCATTAATCACATCTATCATTAATTTCTACATACCTAAACGCTAGTATTAGTCAAATTGATTTCCCCAAAAATGTTGACGCGATGTTGGGGCTTCACATAATGGTAAAATATCAACTCATAAGAAACAAAAAGAAAGAAATGAAAAACTCAGTGCATAACAGTGACCACACATTTTTTGATAAGGAATTACGTATAGAACATCTTCCAAAATTTAATTATTAGTGAACTATTATTCGAATTATTATTTCCGGTTGACTACACGGTATATGCGAAAATAAATATTTAGTTCATAACTACGTACAAGAATATGAGACACCAAAGTTAATTTAGTGTCAGCACAGAAGTGACTATAAAATTATTGTAGAGACTCAGAGTTAGTGGGTTATTAAACTAATTTTCTCTTAACACACGTTTATGCATTTGCTCATTTTAGTTGCATGACGGAATGGTCTCGGAACTTTTCTCGTAAACATGAGAGTCCCGTTAACGTGAGAAACGACAACAGGACGGTCTCACCCCCAAAACAAGAAGAGCTTTCCTGACCTGGAACTCACAACCTGTGCATTACGTAACTCAGAAGAAAACAAATTACACTCAAGGACGAGAAATTTTATGTTTCTAATCTTCGGTATCTGATTCCCAAAAATTGTTTACAACTAATATCCAGCTTTCGATTAGTACATTACATCTTTCGTTTGTAAAAAGTAGTTTTTTAAATTAAACTATGTTACACTACTATTTGAAATTGTAATATCAATAATAAATATATTACAAATAATAAGAATAATTATAATAAATATTATGTTAGCAACATAACCTGCTGAAAAAGTGAAGATGGTTGGAAAAAAAATACTGGGTTTCTAAAAAACTGGAATGATGTAAATAGTGCGAGTGAGAATACAATAACATTATAACAACACTTGATAATTGCATAAGTTACAACAAATTAACGTCCATTTAGCCTATTTTGCCACAAGGGAAAATGCGTGTTAAAGAAAAGTATCAATATCAATTACATAACTGTCTAAATGAATTTCATTTGGAAACGCACATGAATTACTCGAAATCATACACGGATTCATTCACTATTGGACGAACAACTAAACTCAGAATTATTTTTCTGACGAGAGCATGTCTATCTCCGAGGTTTTAACCAAACTGCATTGAGAATCAATCCTTGTCACACCAATCAATTCCCAACCCTTCCATCGAACATCTTCTTTTCCTCCCGACTCGCAGGGCTTCCTTTGGCCAACTCACCGGCGAGGAGCGCTGCGAGCAGCAGCAGGCGGCGGAGGGCGGCGCGCTGGGCCATGGCTGGCGGTCTGTGTGCGGTGCGGTGCGCTGCGGCTGCTCCCTGGTCCACAACACTACCGGCGGCGCCCCGCGCGCCGGCCCGTTATAACCGGCCGCCCGCCCCGCCCGCCCCGCCCCCTCCAGCCTCGCCGCCGACCGCCGCCGCCGCCGCCTCGCCTCGGGTGGAGAGCGTCCCTCCATCGCTCGCCCACCCCACCCCACCCCACCCCTCCCCTCCCAGCCACGCTCCTCCACTCGAACCCGCCTACGCCGCCCCCGCCTCCTTCTCCGACGCAGATGCCTTCAGGAGACTGCATCCTCCGGAGCGGAAGGGCTAAATGCCACGACCCCACTGCTCTGCTTTTCCGGTCGGGGGCCGGTAGTTTGTGGTGCAGAAGGACACTCGGTTGCTGATTATTGTTAAACTTCCGGGTGATACCTCTCGATACCTATCTATAATTCTTTCCTTTGTCTTAAATAGTTCGCTCTTTTCTGCGTTTGGTTGACTTTGGTGCCAAGTACATATATTTTTACATATCCTTCCTGCTTGTTACGTTTCTTGATTTTTCTCATTCATTGATGAATTTAATCTACCTAGCATCGCGTCAGGGTTTCGCTTCCTTTTCCTTTTACAATCTTGATATACTCATCTTTCTCGGACTTCGTTTCCCAACTTATTTCGGTTATCATTGCCGAAATAAGTAATTAGAATAACTTAATATTACTGTTTACGATTCCTCTTCACTTCTGATGAGTTGAATATAGTCACTAGATCCTTTTCCTACTTCCTGTTAATTTATCAAAACCACTGTTCTAAATGCAAGAAATTACTTTACTTGATGTAAATAACTTACAAAAGTTTTAGGTAATAAAGTTAATAATTGAGCCTCTCCAGAATATTTTCTTACTGATACGTTCTACTCACGTTTACGTATTTGGCTGCTTTCAAACACTCCTTTGCTCAGATATGAATAAGAAAATAATCCCATCTTAGATTACATTTGCAACCGCGATGTTAAATGAGGATGATTTGCGCGATATGAAAGTCAGAAGGAGAAATATGTTTATCACCTTCAATGCGCCGCAACTTTTACATTTCAACATCTGCCTCATCTGCAATGCGTCCACAAGTATTTTTATAGATATGTTTGTTCCAACTTCTCTTTAAACTACAAATATTTGTGGCTGCTTTGGATAAATATATAATTTTGCTGTTTTCGTATTACATAATGAAACCGACAATGCTCGCTTGGGTCTGAAATAAATAAACGCTTTTCTTCCAACTTGCAAACGTGTACTCCTCTCTGTTATAACACATCCACGTTGAAGATGGAATAATTTTCCATAGAAACAACAGAGTTCTACATTCTGCTTGTAAGAAGTTAAAGACAACATTCTTCCTTACGAAACATGTTTTTCTATACTCCTCAGAAAATCAAACATTTGTAACGACGGATAAATTTTGTTATTCTTTCCAAGAGTTAACGGGTCTGTTTCTTCACTCTGATAGTGATCTTTGATACATTTTATTGCCTACATTACTACATATGCTAAGAAAGTTATTGAATATTTCAGACAACAACCGGACAGATTTGCATCGTCCTCTTAAAAATCATTGTTTTTATTCCAGCCAAACTTTCTAGAAACTTGCAATCAATGAAATAAATAATTTCATATTAGTCCCATTACGTCAACTACCAGTAATACAAATAGCCCCTTCCTGATCCGATTTCTTCGTGCTTTTCCTCGTCTTACGTTGAGGCGCATCACACTGAGAAGCGCGTAGAGTCACGGAGCACATCGCAGGATACAACATCTCATTTTAGAAAAAAAACCCTCTCGTTTCTCGATCGCTACGTTCGTAACAAAGCACATCCCGGGAAAGTCGGTCACACGTGGTCTTGCTCGCGTGGGCAACAAAGCGGCGGCGTTCGCCGAGAGCAGCCGAAGGCGCGTGTAAGTAGCGAGTGCGTGGGCGCACACAGGCTGCACGCAGGCCGCACGCAGGGGCGTAGTGGGCGGCCCAGTTGCGCGCTCCCATTGTGCGCGCGGTGCTCCTGCGTGGGCGTTGGTCGGGGGCGAGGAGATCGACCGCGTGCAATCTCTCGACGTCTCGGCGCAGCATTGCGACGTGATGGGATCGCGCTGCGAGTGCGAGGGGAGACGAGCTGATGAGACGGGATCTGACGTGATGCGTTTCAAGGTCTTGCAGTAAGATGCTGCAAACACGTGATTCCCGATGTTGGGGATATCTGAACTGCGAATTAATATTAATGAACAGCGGAAGCGTTTGGATAGTGGTTTGCCATAAAAACGTATTGTCGAATACGTTCTTTCTCTCAAAATTTAACCCTCAGCAAGTTGCGTTGTAGATCACTGTTTGTTTCGCTTACTAATTGTATTTATGTCCAAAGAGTTATTGACATTTGTATTTAAATAATGAAACTATATAAACTAATAATATTTGCAGTTGTAACAAGTGGAATATTAATGTGAAATACGAACTTCCTGCATAATAGGAATATTGTTTTTAAGCGAAACAAATATATCATGGTATGAGAGACAACAAAGAAACGTAAATTAGAAAGAATATCAGAAAATAACTGTGCTCTTAAAATAGATTATGATACACGCGTAACTAGTTGTACACAGTTGAACTTGCTTGATAATGTGAGAAACGATTATTCTGAGTACGTACTGCGTGAATATACAATGAGAAATTCTCGACAGTACCTGATTTCTCTAACCGTTACTCTCTCCGTCTTATCTTCCGCTTATGATGTTTAAGGAAATACGTAAATGAGATCGTTTTGGGCGATGTGTTGCGGAAGCATCCTCTCGCTTTCTTAATTAAAACATACTCTACTTCCGTCAATGTGAAAAATCTCACTTCAAGTCTATAAAAAATTATTTAGCCCGAGTGCTGGAATGAACTCTGCTTTTGTGGGACACCATTAGGTCTAAATTCGGCTTTTCTACGGACGGAGAACTTTGCCTAGATTTAGTCTTCTAAAAATGGAACAAAACATGGCAATATGCCAAATGCTTTACCTTCCAAGAGAAAATACACTTTCACTGCATTAATATCTACATTCTTATTTCAAATCCGACTACTGTATGTGACTCTATATAGTATATCATATTTTATTATTCTGATTATTATTTTGGACTATTCCACTCGTGAAATTAAATCCAATAGTGTTCAATGGGGCATGAAAAATGCCCCAATCAGGGCAATGTATCTCAAAACGTTTATTGCATTTTCGATCCGATTTTTCTTACCGCTTCCACCTACTGGCCAATCATAAACCGTGGCTCATCTCTCTTCGGAGGCGTTATACATCGATCCCTACGTCGATGTCCTATAAACAGCGCATGTACTACAACATAACCTCTGATTTTAACAAACTTTCAGTTAGTTTCAGTATTTGGCGTATTTTGGAACTATGTTGGACATAATATCACTCGTTCTATTAAATATCAATCGTGCTTTGGAAATTCTCAGATCAATCCCCTCCTCGCTGTGCAAGTCGGAAATTCATCGACCAACTGCCAAAGCACACCTGGTATTACCTATGATAACTACATTTAAACTCTTGCTTTGCAGAACCTCAAAACGATGTCGTTGATCGATTATGTGTTTTTCATGGTCTTAGCCACGGACGAGACAAACGTTAATTGTGCAGTTCCTTTCCATTCTCTTCAGCTCCATCTGTAATCAATTTCGACTCTCAATGTTCCATCATTCTGAGTCATATCCGTGCTCAATGAAATTTAAATCAACCGCGCGTACAATGAAGATTTCCGCCAGTAGGCCTTGGAAAGAAACGTATTTGCATAATTCGCACCGCGTGACCTTCTGGAAAACGGAGTAAGGTGTTCGTTTCGTGCAGCGGTGTTGGTGTACAGTAACATTAATCGAACAATACAAGATGTCTCTTAGGACCTTGCGATAGAGCGTCGAACTTGTGCCCTTATCAAATGAAGATTAGAGAAGTATTAGATGCACTACATTGGCTCAATGAAAGTAACGATAGATTATTTCTCTCATGTGTGTAATTATTGTCATTATATTTCACATAATATGAAAGATACAGAAGATAGCAACGATACTGCTTGGTATTTCATATACATGACATTATACGAGGCGCATCCACAAAGTAAGTTCAACCTTTAATTTCGTTATATCTTAATAATTGTGTAGACCTATACACACTAACGATCGGCAGAGATCATCATGTAAGCGGTTGACGGCTGAATCATATCGCCTTCTCTATTCCTGCTATGTTACCCCAAGCTTTCCTTTGCATCAATATTTGTATGGACGCCTTCTCATTTTATCTTGAAAATCGATCTCTCTAATTTTCACTACTGTCAATAATTGTCTGTTTACTCGCGACATACAAGGTACTTTCTTTACATGCGGAGACATAATTAGCACTGCCCTTCTTTATTGCTTCTTCTTGTTAGAAGGTACAGTTCTGGACCTAATGCGACACGCAAAGACATGATTTATTCGCAGCCTATTGAATTATTTAATTTGATAGGGCTAGCCTGCAAACTGAGTTTAGAAAACGCCAAATACGAATGCTTAAGTAGATATTAGCACAGCAGTTATTTCATAAAATGAATATTCTGTTGTAGAACATTTAGAACACATAGAACATTTACATCAGAGAGAGGTGAAAATTTGTTTTTCTTGCTTTTGCAGAGGGGGGAGTTAAAAAGCAACATTTTGCGAGCGCATATTTTGGATGGTCTTTCAGAGATACTTTCATATCATAATGCTGAATGTATATAGAAAGTGACAGAAATATACTATGTATCCTTTCTTCAAGAGATAAAGTTGACGTGATCACAATATTCAGTCACCATACAAGAAAATTGATAATTACGATTTCCTTGATTTGAACAACGCTCCTGATGAAAATCTAGATTAATATCTGAGACACGCAAGTTAGGTCTTAGTTTCTACATCGAGATTTGATCCCATTTTTTTCCTTCAACGTCAAGATTACATTTTACTGCTCATCATTTCTAGATAGTGTTTCTCCGAGGACAGTAAAGGATAGTGTTATTTTCCTCAAGCGATATCTCCAAAC